ATATATATATATTCAAATATGGCTCACCTCATTGGGAGGCGAGCACTTTATCTCCCGAGTCAGTACATAAGGTCTTTTTTTTTAATGCTGAAAAAAATAAATTGTATTTTTACTTTTAGATAACAGAAACTATTCCTTCCCATATAAAACCAACAGAGGAATGGATGTCATCGCCTAAAGAGCCAGACGTAACACATTATGTACGAAGTTTAACATATGGTGGTGAACTTATTGCATCTCTGAGGCTCAAAGCTAACAATAGAGAGGAAAGACAGAAAATAAAAGCCGCCGTTGCGGCTAATCTTCAACTTACTGGAACCTTTGATCTCAATGCAAACGGTATAAATATATTTAAAAAAATACTCAAATGATTTTAGTTACCATAGTTATTTTAAAATTGGCCTTTGTCATAAAAGTTTTAGTTATTTTGGTATACTTTAATGTAGATAAAATTATAAACATATTTCATTAAGAAATATCCTGTTTATGTTAGCTCTTAGTTGTTGTGAATGTCTTGGAAACTTACGTTAAACTGGGCATGTTGTTTTCCGTTGTAAAAGGTATAAAAATTAAAATGAAAGATTTAGTACTAACTAACTGAACTAACTGACATGATATAGATGTTTCAATTTATGCTGATATTGTGTCATATCTGTGATCAAGAAAATGATTTTTTCTTAAGTATATTAGAGTTTAAAATTTCATAAGAATAAGTATTGAAATTGAATTTCAAGGGCTTTTAGAAAGGCTAATGAGACTCTGAAAATTTAAACCATATTTGCATAGTTATGTTTTATTCTCTAGATTCATCTATGGATATCATAGATCCATAGATGAATCTTATTAAAAAATTAAATTAAACTATTTCTTATAAACGATTTCTAAAAAACTTTCCTACTTTGTAGCTCTGGCATGATATTTGAATAAATGTTACAGAAGAACCATTTGCAAAATTCTATCAAGCAAAAAAATCGAAACATTATTCATTCTTCTACAATTACACGGGGGAACAAATTTTCTATTGTTTTCTGTTGCTTGAGATTTTAACGGATCTTTGATATTGATTTTAAATCTGCAATCGATTTCATATGCTGCTAGGGGCACTTCCTCTATTATGATTCATCGGGTGCTTTTGAACAGTTCATAATCGAGCCACGTTCTAGCCTCCTACGACGACATTTCCGGTATATCCGATGTCCTTCAATCATGATGGTGAATGCAAACTTTCCTAGAAGTTTGTCGCAACCTTGTAGCGACTCCCTGTTATACATAACGTTTTTAAACTTGTGCATTTTGACGAAGAATAGACCGAAAGAGTCCTTAAAATATCTGCAGAGAAGCAAAACATTTTTCCGATTTAAAACCCGACACCCGTATTAGGAAAGATCAATTATTTGTATAAATATGCAATACAATGATCATGTGTAAATATAAATTTACAATAATCATTCATACAGAATTTGAGCATGTGTGGAAATATTATTTTGCAGCTGATTTATGATAATTTTATAAGTTATAATAGAATAGTTATATTACAGGTAGTTTTGACAAGTTAAAAAAAGATTTAGCTGGTATGTATAACATAGATATCGAAGTTTTAGCAACAAAAACCCCATCTAAATCACCTGAATCTGCGGAGGAATTGATGGAGCTTGTAGAAAATTATCCAAAAGATATCGCTGCAATCAATGATGGCAAAGGAAAAGTTATTAAAGCAGAGCTTTTTCCTTTAACGTCTCTTAGAACTGATTATATTGAATACATGCCAAACAGGTAAGAACTTTTCATGCATGCCTGTAAGCAAAAGCACTTTTACTAGCTTAATCGATGTAAATTTTAGGTCTACTCTATTAGACTCTCTTCTTCTTGAATAAAATAGTCAAATCCACGTCCATGTTTGGTAGGATTTTTTTATGCCCGATCCCACCTGAGTTCGAGATTTTAATAAGTCAGATATATGACAAAATTCACTAAGTCATGAAACCAAAATTAGCGATGAAAAAAAGCCAAATTACGTTTATTATTGAGATTATATATTGATCAATATATTTGCTTTAACGACTTCAGAATAGTCTCATCAGCAGCTACATTAAGTCTCCGAATATGCCAAGCGTTTCAAAACATTAAAAGCATTAAATGTCACCTCAGAATACTGTCCCTCACAGCGTAAGACCACCTATGCACCTACGCAAGATTATGCTTTATGCCTGATGGACTAGTCGTCAAGTGATTCAATATGAGCTGTTATGAACGAGTAAAACGGTCACTGACGGACATGTACCAGCAGCAAATGGAACGTGTGCAATAGGCATTGCTGCAGTAGGAACCAGCACTAGTGTGAATCGCAAAGTTGTACTCTTCTTTCACGACAATGCCCGGACGCATGTTTCTCGGGTGGAAACCATACAACTACTTGGGCTACATTGTGCCGTCCTCCTTACACCTGGCCTTTAACAATCAGACAATCAGAGTATTACCTCTTTCACTTCCTACATAATCATCTTCGTAGAAAATCTTTCATTAATGAAACAGACTTGTTCCAAAAACACACAAGCTTCCGACAGTTAAGTTCCGCATTACCCATGGGGAGCAGAAAATTTCAAGCCAATTCACTTACTTAAATATTGGACAACTATATTGCTTAGGTATTGGACGAGATTAATGTCATTTTTTGTTGATGTAATCAATTCTCTGAACTGTTGTTAACTGCTCGTCCATCGTGTGAAGATGATTAAAGGCTTAGGTTGAAATAGGAGTCTATAGTAAATAATAAGTCCATTAGTTTAAATAGGGGTTACATAGAAACTGAAAACAAAGAAAGAAAAAATAAGTGAAAAAACTCAACGCCAATGATTGTTCAGCACAATGGCATGGACATGCAGAGAATTTAATTCGGTGCAATTGCACCGAAATAAATTCTATGCATGTAGGTCGATTCTATTCTTGCGTTGAACAGACAGATTTACAGGCTTTCAGAAGCATGAATACGAATGAAAATTGTACTTTTTTTTACTTCGGAAAAAGCGTTAGACTATAAAAATGGCATGTTATTTTTGCAAATAAAATTATTATTCTTTTTTAATTTCAGGGCTATAATGGGTCTATTAAATGATGTTGAAACAAAGTATGATGATATAAGAACCGTTGTACGCGAGTTTTATCCCTGGGAAAGTAAAAGGCTAGTATCCACTGATGAGCAAGATGAACTGGTGATGTAACATTTTATTTCTTTAAAAAATGTTTGAAACTAATATGGATGCTTTTGAAAGATCACTTAAAATTGTATATTTAAAAAATAATTATTTCTCGACATTCTTCCAGACCTAAAATGATAATCCCTGTTTCGATATTGCAAAACACAAAATCAAAGACGATCAAAATTAATTTGAATTTTTCAAACTAGTTCTGCCTTTTCGATTATTCTTGCAAATACACTTTTAGAAATTTTAAAATGTTTTGAAACAAAATAGGGTGCATTAATAAGATGCCAAATAGAACAATTTTATCTCCTAAATTAAATTATGCAGAACTTCATTTTTCTATTACTGCGGTTGGTAGAGTGGAAACTTAGTCCCTTTTTTGCTATACTACTATAATATTGCTATAGTATACTCTATTGCTATAGTTGTTAACACTCTCCAGCCTAAGCTTTCTTACCGTTTTATAGTCTTATTTCTGCTCGAAGCTACCACAGCAAAGAACTATGCTGCTTGCAAGAATGGAAAAAAAACATGCTTTATTTTATGTGATATGCTTTGGACATAAAATGTAAAAGTCAAAATAGTGTTTTACATATTGCTTAACCGTAATAATGTTTTTTTAGCAATTTTTTTCCTTGCATACATCATGTTCATTCAACAAATGTTATTACCGACTAATATGATAACTAAATATAAAATTAATACGTCCGCAAAAGGTTAAGATTGTAACTTTGTATGATATTATGGTTCAAGGTATTAATTGATACATTATTAAAGTTTGACATTAAACTGTTTTTTCTCAGGATGTACAATGTAATAAAACTGTCATGTGATTTCCTCCAGCAAATAAAGTTTTATTGATATCACCTTTAAGCAATATACTTCATCATAATTTTTGTTTTTACTCAATACAGCTAAGCATTTAAATTAGCATTTTCCTACTTCTTTTACAACATTCAAGGTTTTTAACATCATAACTTGTACTTTCAGGTACGGCAAATGTACGGTAACTTAACCGCTGCTCAAACAGCATTTCACTTAGCTATTAGCAATCTTGATGAATCTATGAATGGTAAGATCGACCAGTTCAAAGAAGCTTTTAAGTCATACGGCACTGGAAAAAATAATATACCCAACAGATTTCAAAGATGGTTTTGGAAGCTAAGACATGAAGTTGTAAGTTACATAGCAGCACTGGCTTTTAAATAGCATGGCTATTTTTCTGTCGTTTTTAATACTATTTTTTTAAAACATTTAAATTTCTTACTAACATAAAAGTGAACTTTGTATGAATAAAATTTTTTAAATTTTTTTTTTTAATTCGTACCTTGGCATCATGTTAAATATGGGTAGAGGCTGATTACCCAATGCCCTTTATAAAGATGCAAAAAAAATTATTTCTACTGAAAAAAATATAATTTTTGATATTTTGATCTTTCTTTAAGACTGCAGCATCTGTAAAATTACCAGAATTTTGATGCTTAGTTAGTCAATGTTAAATTTAATACACTCATTGCTATAAAAATAAGCGCATCTAGGAAGAGTTGTCAGAATGAAACGAAATTTTGCACACATAAATGCAACGTTGTATATGTAAATGATTAAAAAACTCAAAGCAAAATAGTAATTTATTCCAGGAAAAATTAAAAATGATTGAAGAATTTAATACCTTCTTGGGCATCGTTTAGCGCAAATGCATGATACGATACGGTTGGTAGTAATAAAAATTTTTAGTACTTTACATTCTGATCTATTTCACAGTCTTTTGTTTGGTGTATCCTATTTTTATAGCACTAAACTTCACATGGAATCAATTGAATTCTTTAATTAAACCAACAAGATTTTCAGAATTTCAGTTATTAAATTGAAACTTAAATACCTTTATTTGTTCTGTTGTTAATCTTATCAATATTTGAAATAAACATCAATTAAGCTAACTCTCACATATTGGAATTTGGAATACTCTTAAACAATTGGTATATCCTTCCTGAATTTAAAATATGGTTTTTATTGAAAAATATTGACACTCAAAACAAAATGCTGTTGGAAGATTGTCATATACATCGTATAGCACAAAATGTAAATGCTTTATAATAGCCAATTTAATGCTTTGTTTGTGTGTGTGTGGAACTTAATTTAGAAGAAAAATAACTAATTCTTATAGATAGCCAAGCATCAAAATTAAATATTTAATTTAGTATAATCACTGAGACACATTTCATGTGGCTAAGACTTTTAAATATTTCCACATTCATAGAAGAAATATTTTTATTTTAAAAAATGATGTAGGAAAACTGTGGGACTATCTGAGGGAAAAAACAAGTACAAAAATAAAATTAAACTATAATAGAGTATATAAAATATCTATAATAGAGTATATGAAATCCTCTTACTATAAAATAAAATTTGATTTTACCATAAAACTACTTCATGCAACCAGTCATAGTAGTATCCCTTGCGATTGGAGTTGTTATATTTTTAAAAAAGGAATTTATAAAGCAATTAGTTTTTATACTAAAGCAAAATTATTCAACTCTTTTTAAGGTTGAATGTCCTGTCTTAATTTTCTATGTGTATTGTTTATCAAACACTTCGTAATTTTTTAGTGTTTGTTACGTAATATAAATGTATAAATGTTTTTTAATGTTGTCATGTGTCGTGTTGTCATATTACTCAACACTTCTTTACCATAAAGTACAGGAGATTACAAGCTATCCATGACCGTTTCTCGTTAGTCAAACCGTCTGTGAAAATGTACTAAGGTATCTGACTAGTACAAGAACGGGATTCGGGGGAAATCAGATACTAGTCAGATTCCTTAAATTAATTCAAATTAATCTCTTAATTGTCGATTATATGCATACAAATTTTATAATCAGTCTGTATTTATATCACTTTTTTTAATCTTTTATTTTTTTCTTTATATTTCAGACCGAGGAGCCAATTAGTGAGTTTTTTCTCTTTGCTGTTTATTTTTCAACACTTCAATTCTGAATAATATTTAATAACATATATTTTTAAAAACCAATAATAATTTTATTAAGATTATTATATTAAATTTTCATTCGTCTTTTTGAAAAAAAAATTGGTCACATTCGAGGTCAGATAAAGAAATTTACTGAATGAAAAAAGAAAAATTTTTTTTTTTCAAAAATATTTTCATATTCCACACACGACACACGTGTTTCCGCGTACTTTGTACACTATTAATACAATTGACAAGAATTTGAATGTTATTGTTCATTAATAACATGACAGAGATCGATATCTAACAGCAATTTTAAAGTTTCCAAAAACTTTTCCCCCTGAAATACAACTGGCTTGAATGTGCTTATGTTTCATTTGTCAAAATTCAAATGTTATTGGGAAGAAATAAAGTACTTTTGTTTTCATATTTGGAAATATGTCTACAATTTCAGTTGAGCTTCGATTATCCAAACCTCTTTTACTCGAACATTTTTGCTTATCGAAGTCGATTTATTTGTTTTAGATGATCTCACAGTTTCTTTCTTTTTTCAATTTTAATTAAGTAAAGGCTAATTTCAGCTACATATAAGACTCAAAATGTAAAACACTCTTCGTACTGCATGATTTCAGAGAATAATAAATTAATTACTTATTATTGAAATTAGTTGCTTTTGCTCTTCCAAGAAAAGAAAGAAATTTTTTTTTTAATTTTATTTGTTTTCTCCTATTATTTCTAGTGAATTTTAGTTTGACCATCATGATTTCTACTTTTGCTATAATCTTTGTAACTAGAACAAATGTCTCAAGGTTACTTATCGCTACAATAATTTTGGCAAGTCATGCTTTTTTCTCCATGTCAGTACGTTTCAAAAAAAGTTAGGAGGTTCTGGTACGGGAAAAAACTAAGATTTGCCGAAGCCATGGTAACGAGGAAAGGAAAATTGTGGAGAGTGGGGAAATCGCCTAACCTTGAAATGCCTATTCTGTTGCAAAGAGTGTAAAAAAAGATGTACTATGTTATTTATGCTACAAAATATAGAAGTGCCCCAAAAGTTTACAAAGGAGTACAAAGCAATGAAATCAACTAATAAATCAACAAAATTAATTAACAATTCAGAATGAGATGCTGCTTTGTACAAATGTTTTCGTTAAAAAAGGGGCTAAGGCCGGGAGCCTGCACTGTGTTAGCTAGAATAATGTAATTATGTCAAACTATATTTATTCCTCATTTTTGGTCTAACTATTATCAGGTCATCAGACGAATAGATTATGACTAGAGAAATTAATGGTTTTTATTTTGCGTGTTAAGCTGCATGCAAAAATAAAATGACTACCCAAAATCAATTCTATAAAAATTGATATGAGCTCTTTTTAAATTTTTTTTCTTAAAAATTTGTAACAGAAAAAATATTAAAAAAAGAAAAATCTTTAGACATTCGATATAACCAATGAGAAATAGAATTGCCATTGTTTGAAACTTCAGACAAGTAATTCTGACTGTCCAAAAACCACTGTAAAGAATTGCTACTTTGCGTGAACCCAAAGATTTAGTAGCTTATGATCAAGTTTAAGTGTGTTACGCATCAAATGTTAAAAAAAAATTCACTTGAAATTACATATTGTGGTAATGTTGGCATATTATGTAATTTTGAGTTCCAAGTTCCTAAACTGGATGTCATATTTTAGAAATATATATGTTACTAGTAAAGTTTGAAATCTGGCTGTATAGAATTCCAAGGAATTGTATATACTTGTAATACCTAAAGCTAGCCGTCAATAATTCATATTCACAAAAGATTAATATTTTTTCACATTTCCTAGGCATTCTATAGAATTTCAAATGAGAAACGGACAAAGTATGATTCTCCGATTCATTTCGATTCACATCTCCGATTCATTTCGAGAGTAATGTCTTCTTATTGATGTGAAAAAATATAGTTATTAATCCAACTAACCGGAAATATCATAGCTGTTTTAAATATCCATGCATGCCCATATGTTGAATATATATATAAAGGGTGATTGTGAAATAACTTTGCCGACATAAGAGAGGATGCTTAGACGAATGGTTTAACAGTAAATGGTGCGATTTTGGACATGACGGAAATCGTGTTTTATAAATTTTCGACGGGCCAATTAATTTCAGCTCTCTGAGGACAGCAGAAAAGAAGGAGATATAATGGTCTCTGTTGCCACTATTCTTGTTAAAAATAGCTTTCTAACCACACCATTTTTTAAAATTTATTTGCTGGGGTCCACGGGACGTTTTGATGAGAAAATTTGTTGTTGCTACTTGAAAATTTTTCAAAATTCTATAACTGTAACCTGAAACTGAGAGTCAGATAATTGTTTATAACACTACTCTTTAGTACGTATCTTAAAAGGTCTTCATTCTACGCCGCTTAATGTAATGTTACGCTTGTTCAGAGGTCATTTGTGGTCAAAGTTAATTATAATCGCCCTATAGATGTGTTCTATATACTAATATAACATATCTATAGGTATATACAGAGTGTCCCAAAAAGTAATTTACAAACCTTGTGCATTGGCCTACGAGACCCTGTCGAAATTGGTCTATGTATTCAATTTGCAACAAGTTTTACTCAGGTAATTGGGCCAAAACAGTTGTTTCCAAGCACATATGAGAGTGGAAAAGTAATGTCATTTTAGAACCGTATCTAGCAGAAGAAAGAAGCATTAGTTTAGTAACGAGTAATGGTTAATAAGCAATGCGTTTACTGAGCCTAGACCAATTATAATTCGAGTCATCTGTATCGAAAATTGTTTTTGTCAATATAGTTATGTTAAAGCCATTATCGATTAGTTTCAAATGAGTGTTGTTCACATTCTTGTGGCACCAAGCTGGTTTTCGGTCACAGCTATCTGAGTAAATCTTATTTGTAATGATTTACCAGACCAACAGGTAACATTTTTAAACCACAGTTCAGGACACTTGCATGTAATTATTTACCTTCTTGTTTCTGTTTTTTTTTTAAATATTTTAGTTTGGCAGAAGCCGGAAGGAAGTGGAACTGTTTATATAAATTGGGGACAAAAAACTTGCAATTCATCGGGTGGACAGAAAGTAGAACTTATGTACTCAGGACAAGCTGCTGGCTCTTTGGACAAAGCTTGGGGAGGAGGTAAAGATTACAAATGCTTACCACACTCTCAACCTGCTATATCGAATCCTATTCCTATGCAGCCGAAACCAGCTACAATCGATTCTGTAGAATTCCGTACTCTCATCGAGCCTGACAAATCTGGACCTATTCCGTGCGCTGCATGTATGCTTTCTGATGTGAGGGATTTGAAAACATTTTATGCTCTAACATCTTGCCCAAAGCATTGGAGGAAAGAGTATTCTGGCTTGACAATGGCTGATAGTGGATCAACTGTTGATTCTGATTTTCTATGTCTGAATAAAGAGGTTTTCTCAACTCTTGCGATGAACGAAGGTGGAAAATCAGTTTCTAAGTTGAATCCTGTTTGGATGAATTGCGAGAATTGTAACGGGGACAAAGTTGTTCCGTGTATTGTCTGCAGCTACGATAACAAACTTGAAATCTAGAATATCAGAATAAAGAAAATATATTTCCTTTAATAAAATATGTATTTTACCCCTGTTATTATGTGAATGGCTTTAAATTAAAAACCAACTACTGTAAAATATTTTGAATCTTAAAACGTAAAAATATTTTAGTCAAAAATATTAAAGAACTACAACTCAAAAATTACACTTTTAAATTTTTTTCAAACTCACTAAATTTTCGATTAAAATATTTTGTTAATAATGTACTTTATTGATCAAAAACTAAATTTGAATTTGTACTGTAAACAAACAAGTATATATAAAATAAGTGTTTGAAGTAAAATAATTTTTCAATAACTTTTTTATCTTAATTTTAATTTATTTATGATTGATTTTCGACGAAAAGAAAATGTCTTGAGCTTATGTATTCCTTAAATTTAGTACTACGTTTGAAAAGTACTCTTCAAACTCTCTAGGAAGCACAAAATTGCCGGACGTGATGCATTTTCCTTTTTAAATGTGAAATCCTAAAGGAGATAAAGAAATCTCATAATTAAATGTATTTATCTTATTTATTAGATCTATCAATTATTTTTTTAGATCTATTGTATCTATCAATAACAATTGTAAACATGCCAATGCAATAAAAATGCATTCATTTTTAAAAGTTTTCATTTCTGTAAAAAATTCTACACTTACTCATATCAACTGTATCATTAGAGTATTATCAATTCACTTTACATCCAGAATACAAATTTATCAAATTATTTCTTAAATATATCTCAAATTTCGAATGAAATTGATATTTTTTGAGTTAAAATAAATTTTTTTTTACCAAAATTGATTTTCATAGAAGATAGAACAGAATATAAATATTTTTTTTTATGAGGTTAAATGCTGAAACGAGTCTTCAATATTACAGCTATTGCAATTCTCACAAATAGAACACTTAATATTAATACTTGCAAAAGTTTTTTTTATGTCATAACTTAATTTAAAAAACATCAGTCCAGCATTATAACACTCATAGCACATTTGAATCATTCTAGAGATAATTCAAAATCCTTTTAAATACTATCAAAACCTTTTTTTCTTAAATGTGTGGAAAAATAACAATTATGAAAAATCTTGGAGATTTTATGGCACCCATTTTTTTTCCTTCACTTTCAACTTCACTAAAGAAGAGCGAGTTTATGTAAAAGAAAAATTTCGAGAGATAAAAAAATTTTTATACCCCTCTTTGCAACAAAAATACGCTAACTGTACTATGATAACTTAAAGCAGAAAATGAGAAATTCGCTAAAAAGTGCTTAAAATTGCAATAAATTTGGGACGAATTGCAATTTTTTTAAAATAAAAAAATGTTTACAAATACAAATGGCTTTTCAGCGTAAAATTTGCATGATATTCGTTCGTATGCAATAAATTTTCTTCTAGTCAATTCGAAGTCCTTCGACTTTCTCTGATACAAGAGGTAGGTAAATGTAAAGCGTTATGCCATTTTTAGTCAAGTGGCGTCGACTTCGTTGGCTATTTTTAATTTTCTGTACTTGATGATATGCCTATTTTCCCTCAAAATGACTTTACAGCGCCAAATTGATCTTGATGGTGAAAAATTAAACCCTTCTTTCATATTATAAAAGTACTATTCCCACGGCAAACTACAATACAATATACTCCAAATTGGGTTTGAGTTTAGTTGAATAGTTTTCTCACTATCAGACTTCTACTTCAATAATTGTCACTCTGTAGTACAGAAATGACACACCGACGCATTCCAGCATTTATTCTCAGATCCCCCCCAGTACAATCCTTTAAATTTTAATTAACTTATAAGAAATTAAAACATGACTTTGTTGACTCTATTCTTACAGAAACCTGTCAAGTAAAAAGTCATCACTTTTGTGCTTAAATTCAATTGAACGTCTAAAACTGGTCGCAAAAGATGACTTAATGTCGAATGTATATGGGTCATTCTCACAAAAACAGTCATTTTCATGTCCCCAGTATATTTTATGTTTGTTTTACAACTTACGAAAAAAAATTTTCAGGGAAAGTGTCCTTCAGAATGCAAGCTAACAAAAGAATAAAAATAAAATTATCAATTTTTATTTTTTATTAATTTTAGGTAATAAAAATATACCAATATGTCATTCCCTCACTTGTCCCCACTGCTGATTTAAAAAAAGAAAAAAATTGTTTCTGAAATAAAAAATTTTTTTTTACAAATTTGTGTTTTTTATTTGAGAATATTGAAATATAGAATTCAGAAAATAAATTTTAAATTTAATTTCTGATAAAAATATTAACACAGCACTATTTTAAACTTTGTCCCCAGTGTTTCGCGTCATTCCCTCACAACAATGTTCTTATCACCTGCAATCTTCTTAGAATAAAAATATTTTAATAAAAACTTCAGAAGTTAACAACTGGCATCATAGAACAAAATTGCAGTATGTTTCCATCTTCAACTTAAAGAAGCTTTGCTGTGGAATAAATTTGAATGAATCAAACCAGGTAAAATTTTTTACATTTGTCATTCCCTCATGTCATTTTTTAGAGTAAAATAAAATACAACTTCATCGAGAAAGTGGATAATTATATGTTGCTTTCTTGTATGAATATAATTGTATGTGATTGACTTCAGAAATTAATTAGGCCTAACTGTTATTTTTAAATTTTATTGAATTCGTCATTCCCTCACTAGTGTATAAAGTGAGGGAATGACGCTGAAGTGAGGGAATGATTCAAGATGAGTATATTATTAAATTTTTTTTTGTTCAATCGTGCCAGCCAATTTTATTTCCCAAACCTGTAAAAACTATTAAATATATAAGACTAAATTATAATAAATATTAGATATACTTAGTATGTTATCATTTTCAAACTTTAGGTAGATGTAACTTAGATAAAAACATGTATTAAAATAAAATATCATTCCCTCACTATTAGTGTCATTCCCTCACTTTTTAAATAGTGAAAATAATTAATTTACTTATTAATTAATTTGAAAAATAAATTAAAAAATTAATAAATTAATTTATTAAATTAATTAATTTATTTATTAAATTAATTAATTAATTATTAATTATTATAAATTAATTAATTATAAATTAATTATTTAAAAAATTAATTAATTTAAATATTAAGTATAATTTATAGGATATATACTTTCTTTATAATGCCATTACATATTTCTATTAATATAAAAAGTTTCAGAGCTTTTTATTCACTTTACTTTTTTGCGATTTTATGAACTGAAAAATGACAGTTTTCGTGAGAATGACCCATATATTAGTTAACGGATAGTTAAGTACATTAGATTGATTTTTTTGATAATTGATAATTTTGAGTTAGGTAATATTCTATTTGTTAATATTCGGAACTCATATTATCTTTTTGTCTATAGTAGATTTTTTAAAATTAAAAAAACACTCGATAGATTTTTTAAATCCTTGCTTTAAAAAATGAAATACGGCACTTATTTTTCATGTTGAAATTTATATTCCTATGAAGTAGGATCGAATTTTTTAAAAAATTGGTCATTAAAAACAATGCTAATCCAATGTGTAAAATTGTAATGAAGTTTTTGAAAATTAATTTTTTTTGGTTGTATGTCTAAAACATAGTATTATGTTAGAACACGTTACTATTCCTACAATTTTAGAAAAAAGGTTTAAAGAAATCTTTTTTAACATAAAATTTTCTCTTCAGCATGTTTTGCTTCATGCATGTTCTTAAAGCGGGGGAGAAAAATAGTATACTAGGAAAAACATACCTATATAGTTGTTGATTGCGATAGTGGAAAAATTTTAATTGCTAAAAATAATTAACATGGCTTATAATAGTTAGTTAATAATATATATTTGAATAATTAAGATATAAACTAGGTCAAAAAATACTAATTAATAATGGACAATGCATTTTTCACAATAAAAGGTCATAAAACTTTTAATCTCTAAATATCAGCTTCCAAGTTTACTTCTTTTATTTTGTATATCTTAAATTTGTTTTTAACTTTCAAATTAATATACTATCAACTTTCAAATTAATTATGCAGTAACTTTCAAGATACATAAGTACAACTTAGATTTAAAATTCTACACATCCAATTAAAATTTAAAAATCGATTTTCGAAAAAAAACGGTATTTTTTAAAGAACTAAAAAAAAAAAAAATGAAACTAAGAAATAAAACGTTTTCTTAAAATGATCTCCAGTTAATTAAGTTCATCCGGCTTAAGTTCATCCGAATTTCAGTTTGAGTTGGGAGGCTCTGAAACTGGATTAGTTTTCAAATTTTAAGTTCAGAACTTCAACGGCGGTCAAAGAATATTTTTTCTACAATTTATAAGCTATTAGGGCGAAACAGGGTAGCTTAGACCTAGAGGTACGTTGTTCTATTCTTCACAAGGAATTTTTTTTTAAAAATTACTATTTAAAAATTACCAACTGAGCATTGTGGAAAAAACCATAAATAAGGGAAAGTAAGTGATTTGTCTCATAAAAACAAACTATATGGTTAATTTTTTAGTGGAATAAAAAGTAAAAACAAGAAAGTGGACCAACTAACTCCGGGTCTTCATATTATATTTCTGCTACATTCTACTTGATATTGTTTTATCTGCTTGATCTGCGTAAAATCAATTTATCTAATCTTAAATATACTGCTTAACTAACATAGTATTGTAATGTTTAAACAATTCTGCCTTTAAAGACTGCATTTAATTAACGATTAAAGTAAAGCCTACACTGTTAGAAATTTCTTGGAAAAAATGGTTAAATAACAACTTATTTAATTGTTTTTTTACCATATTTAAACAAAAAAAAAGTTAAATAACCGTAAATAAGACATTCAAATAGCAAACTGTGGGAAAAACTGTTCATTAACTGATTTTACCTAATTCGGTTAAACAACCAGAATTTTATCACACCAACTAAGCCCACCTAATGAAGCCACTTAGTTCCTTGCAACAGGGTACATATTATAGCCAATCTACCAATCTCATGACTAACGGAAATGGTTCGAGTCCTAGCGTTGGCACCACAATATTCCTTTCAACACATGAAGAATTTTCAGCATCCTGCATTCCTCAATTCGTGACTCTTGGCTATTCGAATACGATACTCTCAATCACGCATGAATGGCAGCACCATAAATAGCCAAACTATCTCCAATGTCCAGTTAAATATATTTTTTTATGGTCTTGAAACCATGCTGGTTGCAAATGCTTAAAAAAATCATCAACTTAAAACAATACGGTTTTTACTTCATGGTTTTTTAACCATACTAGTAGTAAACGGTTTCAAAACCGTAAAGGTAAAAAATGTTCTTTACTGTAAACTTTACGGTCAATTGGATGGACAGACTTCTACTGGTTATTTTACCATAATTTTAGAATGAAAATTCTAACAGTGTAATTCTATAATTACTTTACCTCTCATTATGTATTTTATGAAATATCATTTATAATGAATAGAAGTTAGTTATAAATTAGAAAGTAATCTTTATACCAGAAAGGATTTAAATTACAATTCTAAGAATTTAAATTAGTCCAAAGAGAATAAAACATTTTATAAAATTTACTCATAAAGGTAAAAATCATAAACGGATAATACTTAGAGTCATTCCACTATGACGTCACTGCAGCGCATTTTCAAAGTTTCTTTTTGGACTTATTACAATTGAACTCCTTATAAATTTTTATTGAGTATACTTGCATCTCGAGAAGAGGAGTAATCATTATGCCTAACCATGTGATTTAAATTAGATTAAATTGGAAAACTGTAAGAGAGTATGTCGTGTCTGCTTGGCTTATGAATCAACCAATACCACCTCACTTGCAAGTATCTAATTGTAAACGCTTAGCTGACGTTGTATAGACACTAAATTATGGTGCTCCGTGGAAAACATTATAATTTAGTGTCACTGTCATAATTTTATTATTTTATTATTAATTTAAATATCTCATATAACATATGTTACATGAGTAATTCAAAGGTTCTCTTTTGCCTAGGCGATTTCAAAGGTTCTCTTTTGCCTAGGCCAGTGTTTCCCAAAGTGTGGTACGCGTACCCCAAGGGGTACGGGAATAGTTTAGCGGGGGTACGCGTTCTTATACGAAAAATCTTGCAATAAACGAAAATTTCTAAACATTTTATTTACAAACAAAGCTAGCCATCATGAAAATTTACGATTACGTATTGTTCTATCGGCTATTTTTTGCAGAGTTAACAGTTAATAATTAGTGGTGTCAACTGCCAGTTGTGATTATTAAATGTTGTGCAATTTTTAATAGTAAAAATACATTCATTTTTTTATTAGTGATACACAGTGTTACGAAAAATTTAGAAAGGGTACACCAAAGTCATAAGTTTGGGAAACACAGGAGAAACTTTTAGAAACTTTAGAGTAGTGATAACGTCAAAGTGGTTTGTTCATGCTTATTACCGTACATTTGCTCTGTATACGTTTGGGCATAAAAGTTTGCAATTTTCCCTCTCATTTGAAAAAAAAAATCAACTATTTGCTTTTTTACATGCTCTAGCTCTAGTGCGGAAAATTTATTTTTTTTCTCTCTGTCATTTAAGATTTTTTTAATGAAAAAAAAAACAGTTTCATAACTTAATATTAATTTTCTACTACCAAATGTCTTTTCAGATCAAAGAATTAAAAATAAAATAATAAACATATATAATTTTCTCCCTCAACTTAAAATATCACATAAGAATAATATATATTTTCTAATTATTTTTCAAATATACAATAGAATTTTTTTTATCACTTTAAACATTTACCGGGATGATATAAAATCTACTGATGTCTTTTTTCCCAGAGAAACAGATAAGTAAGACGAAAACGATTACATTGAATTGGCCATTTAATCTACCCTGGCACTTCTCTGGCGATTTTTAACTGTACATTTCATGACTGAATATTAAAAGTAAGAATTTAATTTATTATTTTAAAATTTATTATTTTAAATTTTAATTATTATTTTAAAATTTTTAATTCTTATTTAAGTTTTAATTCTTATTTAAGTTTTAATTTTTATTATATTTACTATGATATTTAGATCTTAAATTTGTTAAATATTAATTTATTTTAGCTTTTAAATGATCTGTTGAAATAAAGAAATTAAGTTAAGAAAAGGAAATTTAAAGTTAATTTTGTGATTTTATTAATTTCAATTTATGCTGTAAGAATTTTGGCATGTAGTTGGCACCATTTTTGGTGTTGCGAAAAACTTATAACATTTTAAAATACAGAACAGTAGCTATCATGTAAAAAATTATATTAAATAGACAAAATAACAATTGATTCTCAGAACTAGTGCGAATATATTAGTGAAAATGTGCTTATTTTTTAATCGAATAATTTTTGAATCGAAATGTCTTTGAAATGAATCCATTAAATTATTGTTATGCGAATGAAAGTATGTGTTTTTAGTGAACAGGGGAAAAGTATGTAAAAAAAGGTAATTACATGAACTGGAGAAAAATTTAGTTTACCTTAAAAGTAAACATTGTTGCAACTATACACAAAATTTTTTTACAGTGTAGGGGAGAGTGGGGTCAATTGTAACATTTCTTACTTAACTATTTTTAACTAACAAAAAATCCAATATATTATTAGTATTAATTGACAGACGAGTAAAGTAGACTATCCTCTATTAGAAAAAAAAATAAATACCTTATTTTAAATGTTATTATATTAGTTATTAACAATTTTTGACAGTCGTGCACTTGTTACAATTGTCCCCACTTACGGGGTCAATTGTAACAGTTCATAAATTCAACTAAAACATAGTTAATTATACATATTATCATAGTTGTGATATATTTTTTTATTGATCAAAATAGTAGTGATATTTTAGGAGTAAAAATAATAATGAGCAGAGACCTAAAGGGTTAAACTTTTAACTTTAAGGGGTTAAAAATTTTAATTTATGCTGTGAAAGGTGACAAATAAAATAATGCACATGCAACATAATATAAATGATATAGGAAACTATTGGTGGTTCTTAAAGAGTTAAGTAATGGTTTGTAAACATAAGATTATTTATTTTCAGCTGTTACAATCGTCCCTTTACTTATTGTTACAATTGTCCCCAAGACGCCATTTCAGCTTCATTTGTTAAAAACAATGCTAGTTAACTAACAAAACTAATCTTTTTTTTTTAAATGTTAATTAAGGTGTTCACTTACATATTTGGTTAATAATTTTTATTTGTTTAAACAAAATGACTTTGTTACAATATAATATTCTAATACCAAAAAAAGTACTTACGTCGCGAGAAAATATCTTTTGCGATGTAACTCTTTCAAGAGTACATAAAAATGGTTGCCAGCAGGGGTGTGCATGTAGACTTATTAAATACACATTGTGCGCCACCTGGGAACCAAATCTAGAATCGGACACTCGAAATTTTTGCTTTGTTACAATCGTACCCTGTTACAATTGACCCCACTCTCCCCTACTTAAATAGTAAAAAAGATTTATATCGTTCTGAATTCCATTTAATTGTAAAAAGTAAAAATTGAACTAATTTTCAATTCTATTCAAACTAAATATTTTAAAGATTGGTTGTGCTGAAGAAAATATTAAAACATAATAAATAAATAATATGGAGTGGATTACTTAATCTAATCTACTATCAAATTGAATCAAACTAAATGCATCTGGAATTATTAAATAAAATAATTTCACAATAGAATCAACATTCTGAGGATCCATTAAAAGAACTGCAAATCTAGAATGAATAAATGAAATAAACAATACAAAAAATTATAAGGTGATTATCGAAGATGTCTCTAAAATTTCATCAGGCAATCAAACTGGTTTTTACATTTCCAGTTCCGTCCTATGGGCCGTTGAATTTCTATAACAGTTTTGTTCCAATATTTTTCTTTACAACATAACTGAAAAAATAATTCATACATCAATTTTGTTATCATAATCGTTTTTTTATCATGTTAAGTTTTATTCATACGCGAATTTCATTAACCATATCATGAGATAACCAATTTCTGTAATTATGACAACTTATTCAGGTTTTTAGTTGTCATATTATTTTGAAAATCCATATACTTGCATAAAGAGATTAAAAGAAATGCGGAAATAGTCAAAGGTGGAATAGTTATACTATAGTATTAACCAAATAGTGAAAAATAATAAAAAAAATATTTATCAAAAGACAAACATTTAAAAAACTAGTTAGCACCTTTAATTTGATTCCTTAAAATTAGAAATTCAAACTTAACTCTTTAAAAACCATTATATTCTAACATTTACTTTTTTTTCCATACTGATTTCATTTTCACACTAACTTCATTCATTTTCATATTGATTCATTATAAGAAGACAGTCATGACTACCGCCATTATTCCTGTACTTGCTGCCATGTACTTGGGCACCACTTTCGATCTTGTGAGGTACCGAAAAGGAAATGCTGATATTTATGACGAAAAGACTCTAGAGGGAAATTTACAGGTAAAATACACGATAATTAATAGATTTCATAAACGATTAAAAATATAACAATTGCCCAAATTTTTTTTAAAAAAATCACTTAAAAATTTAACATATTTTTTTCATTTTCATTCATTGAAACGATAATATTTGAAATATGCTTGACCAGATTCTTATAAAATCTAAGAACTATTTATGAAAAAAAAAACTCTTATATATATATACATATGAATTTTCAGTTTCGTATTATTTTTTAGGCTTATTTTCCTATTCTCACGAAGGTCAGTTTTTAAGGGAATTTATGGATCGTAAATTAAAGATAAACAGATGTAGGTTGTTTTGTAATCGCAGCTCTTAACCCCTTCCTTCTCGCTCCCGTGAAAATGACGGGGTGAGGTTTCGCCCTCTATTTCTCGCTCCCGTGATATAGACGGGCTGGAGTGTTCTGTAGTAACGCGCCAATAAGAAGAAAACTAATTCATTTCTTTTGCCCGGAAAACATTTTATTTCTCATTTTACACACCAGATGGCAGTACCNATATATATATATATATGAATTTTCAGATTCGTATTATTTTTTAGTCTTATATTCCTATTCTCACAAAGGTCAGTTTTTAAGGGAATTTATGGATCGTAAATTAAATATAAACAGATGTAGGTTGTTTTGTAATCGCAGCTCTTCTCGCTCCCGTGAAAATGACGGGGTGAGGTTTCGCCCTCTATTTCTCGCTCCCGTGATATAGACGAGCTGGAGTGTTCTATAACGCGCCAATAAGAAGAAAACTAATTCATTTCTTTTGCCCGGAAAACATTTTATTTCTCATTTTACACACCAGATGGCAGTACCTGGATATTTTTAAGGTAATTGTAGATAGTTAGTTTATTTTAAACTAGATGTCAGCACTAATCAAATATGTAATACAAATAGAAAAGCCAAAAAAATAGGCACTTTTATGACCGTTTTTTTAAAAATTAACAGATCGTTAAGGGGTTGATAAACATTTTTCGACTCCTTGTCAAATTCAAATTAACAAAAAAATGTACTAGTTCGGTATCATAAATCAATATTAAAGAAAGAAAAACGCCACCATTACTTGACAAATCACTTATGGAATATTTTTTAAAAAAAGTAGTTTGCTGCTAGATATAATTCAGAGGCATTTTTAATAAAAAGAATTTAAATTTTTTAAATATTCGATTGGCATAAATTAAGCAATATTACGCGAAATTTACAATGTCGATACTGAACTGCACAGTAATTATAGATGAATTTATTTAGGTGATTGATCGTAGTTTTACGCGGTCCCAGTACAAGTTAGTTGAAACTTCTACTCAAGCCAGAGAGTTCTTGGATGTGAGTGGTGCTCTTTCATTGCGTATAAAGAAGGGGGATATTGCTATGGATGGTACAGGGGCTTATTTGAAAGACACGGCTAACAGGCAGAAATTTGTAGAATTACTTATCAGAGTACAGCATGAAACCGTGAGTATTGTTATTTATGCTATTTTTACCTTTCATTTTGAAGGAGCAATGTTTCTTCAATCAACGTTTGCCTAAATTCTATTTGTCGAGATTTTATTGCTGTTTGGTTGTTGATATCGCACTTAAGCTGCACTAATGGTCTTTCGGCTACTACGGTGTAGGTCGAAATTAGGAAATTTTGTTATTTCCCAGTCGCCACTTTTAATAGTGGCCACTTTTAATAATATGCGACCAATATTTTAAAAAAAATTTAAAGTTTGAAACGATTTGAAAAAAAAATGTTTCATAAAGCATTTTTTTCTCAGCAATTCTCAAAATGTGGTAATCATTAGGGGTTCATTTTAAATGAAGAAAGATTTTAGGAAACATATATAAAATAAACAAATTTTCAGAATATTATAAAATTTTTGTAATTTCATATTCCAAAGAAATCGAATCCACTTTTGAGCAATGAAACTAAAATTCTCAACACGTGTAACTAAAGATGAAACCGATATAACATTTAAGTCTTTTTCACGTATTTTATTTATTGTTCTTATCAGGAATTCAGAATAGTTTCTCATAATGTTTTTCATCTTTAGCTGACAGAAACAATTCCTTCTCATTTGGAGCCAAGAAAGGAATGGATGACAATGGATCCAAATCTAGTCGGTACGCATTATGTAAGAAGTATAACTTACGGTGGTGAACTTATTGCGTCGCTGAGGCTCAAAGCCAATAACAGAGAGGAAAGAGAAATTATCAAAGCTGCTGTCAGTGCTAATCTTCAACTCACAGGAACTTTTGATTTGAATGCTAATGGTAATGTACCTACTGTATCTGAAATACTTTCTGTTGGTGCTTAGTCTTGTTGTAAACCAACATTGTGATATCCAGTTATCTAATTATGTAACTTGTTTTGGAATCACCGGTGATGAGTGATTCTCACGCATATATTTATGCTAATTCTGATGGTAATGTACCGACTGTTTCTGAAATACTTTCTGTTGGTGCTTAGTTTTGTTGTAAACCCTACATTACGATATCCATTTATGTAATTATTAAGTTGTTTTGGAAACACCGACGATGAGTGATTCTCGCACATATATTTATGTTAATGCTAATGGTAATCTTAATGCTAATGGTAATGTACTGATTGTACTTGAAATACTTTCTGTTGGCATTTAGTCTTGTTGTAAACCTACATTGCGATATCCATTTATCTACCAGTTGTTTTGGAAACACCGACGATGAGTGATTCTCGCACATATATTTATGTTAATGCTAATAGTAATGTACTGATTGTACTTAAAATACTTTCTGTTGGCGTTTAGTCTTGTTGTAAACCTACATTGTGATATCCAGTTATCTAATTATGTGAGTTGTTTCGGAATGATGAGTGATTCTCACACATTTATTCATGTCATACACCAAAATGAGTGTGTAGGGTATGCCGAACTGTAAATAGAAGAAGAAAGATTTAGACTGTTATAGAGATGCCACTATAACTGCTTCAGAAATGTAATATCATCGAATAAAATACTGTTTTTTTAACATTTAATTAATACCCTTATTTTCGGCTATTTAGAATGATTTTACACTGGTTACTGGTGATTTTACATTTATTTACTATTAGTACACACTTTACATATTAATATGTGTTTTCCAATTTGCTTTCAGTTTTGTTGAGGATTCTAAAAATATATATAGATAGGACTGCTTTTTACGGAACACCCGATATAAAGACTGGTAGACTATTTAACCCTCTATTGGAATTTGAAGCTGAAACCGGCCATATGACCGTAAAGCGTTAAATTTCTTTGCAAATGATACTTTGTAATGAAATATTTCGTAAATGATTCATGGGTTCATTTCGAAAATGATTTCAATTTAATTTCAGAGACAATAAGTCGCAGAACTTTAATAATAATTTTCTCTTGCAGGTAGCTTTGATAAGTTAAGAAAGGACTTAGCTGGCATGTATAACGAAGAGATAAAAGTTATGGCCACCAAAAGCCCCACTAGTCCACCTCAAAATGTCGAAGATTTGATGAAGTTAGTGGAAGATTATCCTAAAGAAATAAGCTCAATTAATGAGGGTAAAGGAAAAGCACTTAAGGCAGAGCTATATCCTCTATCATCTCTTAAATCGGATTTTCCAAATTATTTGCCAAACAGGTAATAAGCTTTCTTTTATACAGCTATAATTCAGTGTATGTACAGTGAAAAAATGAACACTCTGAACAACTTTTAAATTAATGATCGGATTTCCCCGTAGTAAAGGCTCATTCTTAATGATTCGAATGCATAGCCTAAAATATGTTAATTTATTAGTGCGAACGATATTTTAAGTTACAAAATCAGACACAAAAACGAACTTTATATGGAAAAAAAAACCTTTTTTGACAGATTAGAATTTTTCATTCTCAGAATATTGATCTGGAAAGTATAATTTCAATACTTTGGTCAGAAGTGTAATCGAAAGTTTGGACCTTTTATTGTTAATTTTGCTTTTTGCATATTTTGCCATATCTTGAAAACTGTAAATACGAATCGAAGAATCTATTAAAAATAATCACTCACAATTAAAAAACTTGTTTATCCAAACATACCAAGCAAAATAAATAAATAAGAAATAATAATAATAATTTTATGATAATTTATTATTTAAAAAATGTTCTTCATTTAATGATTGATGAAAATTTTTTCAAATGGTATGATTTTTTTCATCATTTTAGAGTACGTAGTTTTAAATTACAAAATACGAAATCAGTGTAATATTTTCTAAGTTATTCAATTTTAAGGAAGTCGTATAATTTAAAATTTTATTTCTGGTGAAATATGCAACCGATTTCATTCAAATGTTGAGTTTTGTCATTTAAAATTATATTCTTTAAATGATCTAAAATTGTATATACTCAACAATATAAAACTTTTATGACTATAAATAAATAAAATATTAAATAATTATTAAAAATTATTATTTTTTCCTTGGAAATATCTTTAACTTACTAAAAATTAAGAAAAGGAGCTCTAACTCGAAGGGGTGCTCTCCTGTTTAAACTATTAGTACCATAATTTACAGTTTGCGGATGTTCTCTACATTTTGGGAGTTATAAATCCGAATATGTCATAAAAAAAAGAAGGTATGTTTATTCAGACAAAGTACGGTTTTTCATAATACTTTGTAATATCGTATTCATAGAATAATTAGCATATTCAAGATTAGACACTCAAACTATTAAAATGAAGACCTAGCGCGTAAAAACCCGATCATAAGATCAAAATTATTCAAATCAAAATTCATTCAGTGTGTTCATTTTTTATTTTGATGCTCACTGCTCTGGAAAGAATACAACGATGCACTTTATCTTTGCGTATGTAATTCTTTAACGTTGGCTATTTTACAATTGAGTTTACTTTCTATCTGAATAAATAAATATATAATGAATTATAAAAAGGGGCAGAGAATAGCCTGGTTGATAGGACGTTGGACTCGTGTTCGTGAAAACAGAAGTCCGATTCCAGCCAGCCGAAAAATCCCAGTGAATAAAATGATGACTAGTGCACGTTACATCTCTTAGGGTTACTAAGTCCACCAAGTTTCCCTAACTGATCTATACATGTGGGGTACTGAATTGGAGATTGGGCTAGTTCCATTGGCTGGTTCATGTCAAAATTACGAGTTCAGGATGTATGAATGGGGCTGCTTTCTAAAACGGGCTGTGACGTCTGTCTTTGTGTGACGGAAGTCATTTTCTTGGCCATAGATGGCGCCACTGAAAAACAAGAAGTGCACCATCTGTTTTAAATTTGCTTGGTTGGGAAACCAAGCCTGCTGGCATGGCAAGTACGCAATAGAAACAACTACAACACAGGGATGAGATTCTTCCGCGGTTTCGCGGATTTCCGCTTTTTCTCAGATTTTTCCATTTTTTCCGCTAATTTCAGCTGAATTTTTTTTTGCACAAGTTAAAATATTTTATGAGGAATTTAATTTTCCGCTGAGCGAAATTATTGAAGTCCTCATTCCTCCCTCTGAAGTTTCTCTAAAAATCATTTCCTTGGGATAAAACTGGTTGACCTTTATACAGGGATGAGATTTTTTTCGCTTTTGTCTCTCGAATTTCAGCCTTTTTATCAAAAACTCAGATTCTCTAAAAGTTTCGTTTTTTTTAAAATTTATTTATTTATAAATATTCCGTGTTTTTTTTAAAAAAAATTCAGTCGTTGAAGTCAAATTATTATATTTATTTACGATTTTCAAAGAAAAACAGAAAATTCAAACTACGTCCTAGCTGCTAATCCTTCCGCATGTTTACTTATATTAGCTATTTTCTCCGATTTCACGCACAGAAAATAAGATTTTCCGTATTTTTTATCCGTCGGCGGGATAGCTCGTATTTTCGTAATTTAGACGTCGCTGCTTCTTGTATTCTGGAGAGAAAGCAAACAAAAAAAGCGAAAAAAAATAGAGGTGGATTTGTGGTGAAAATATTTATTTGCTCATTCAATTAATCTTGTAAATTTTTATTTATTGTGTAAACAAAAAACAATTCAAACAAGCCTTTTAGAAATCCCAAGTCCAGACTCTGCAAATATCTCGATTTTTATTCACGCGATTTTAATATCAATCATCGATTTTCGTATTTACCTGATTTAAAAGTTGCGCATTGCAATTCTTATTTACGCTTTTTAAATATCGTACATTATGACTCGTATTTACGAGATTTAAAAATCTAATATCGTGTTTTGTATTTTTGCATTTTTAAAATCGCGATTTTATTATCAAACATCGATTTTCGTATTTACCTGATTTAAAAGTTGAACGTTGCGATTCTTATTCAGGCCATTTAAATATTGTACATTGCGATTCTTATTTACGAGATTTAAAAAACCAATATCGCGATTTGTATTTACGAGCTTTTAAAACCCTATGTAGCTACGCGAGCTTAAAATCCAATGTCGTGATTCGTTTTTGCGGTTGTAATATCGCGCGATTTTAAAATTATGCATCTTGATCTAAAAATTACACATCATGATTTGTATTTTCGCATTTTTTAAATTCGATGTAGAGTTTCATATTCACGTGATTTGAAAGCCTCATATCGGGATTTATAATCACATGGATTACAAGTTTAAACAAAAATTTGACAAAAAAAGTGCGATTTTTATATACATATTCTTGGATTTCCTCCTTTTTACTTTCTGACTACTCTCATCCCTGACAACAACGAATTATAAAAACTTTATTTCCGAATAGATATATTTCTTCAAAAACAAGTCATTTACAGCATCTTCCTCCCCAAAATAAATAAAATACAATAACTTCCTTTTCTTGTATGAAAGAATGGAGCTTTTAGTGAATGAGCGAATAGAAATTTCAGAGAATGAAAGAATAGAACTTTTAGACAATGAAATAATTAAATTTATAGAAAACTTTGCTTTAACTTTAAGGGAAAATCTTATGCCGGTGCTTATTATACTTGTTTCAAGAAAAATATATTTTGCTTACAAAATGCTTCAAAACGACTAAGTTGATCTCATGTTTATTTAGTAATTTCATTTCATTAGTTAATTAATGAGGTATTTCTAAAAATCGCAAGTTTTTAAAAGTGCAATTTAGAAAAAAATGCATTTTTGAAATGAAATTAAGTATAATTTCTGTAGATATGGTGTGAAATATTTTATTTAAAGTCCCTTCTTGGCTGTAAAAATGTACTCCTTCTTTTCGACTGGAATAGTAGTCATATAAAGGAGATATGATTTGGATCTGGTTTAAGACTCTGATAGTGTCCTTGTATAACCTTGATTAACGGAGATACAAATATCATGCAAGAGTTATGTGTGGATAACAGCTCCCAGCGTAGCCAATTTTCACTGTGTAATAACTCACTGGGAAAGCCGATTTTCCAGGTCATTGATTTGTCAAAATTTAGCAAATCTTAGCAAAACTTTACAAATCTCCAAATGCAACAGATGGTGATTCGATCATCATCTTTGTGAAAAATGAATGCAAAACATTCTTTCTCCTGTTATTTGTGAATTTCATACAATTATTGTTGTTTTGAATTTCAGGGCTTTAAACTCACTTTTAAATGATGTCGAAACGAAGTATGATGATATAAGAACTGTTATGCATGACATTTATGCATGGGATAAAAAGAGATTAGACTCTACTGAGGAAGAAGATGATTTGGTAATGTAGTCTTTTACTTTTGTTGGAAATTTAAAATTTACTGAAAAATTTTCCAAATTCTTAAATGATGATTTTGAGACTTGAAGGATGCCCATCTTCCTTATATTCATTTTAATAATTATTTCAGCTCTAAGTATAATAGAGTTTCATTCCCACTATAAGGCTATCATTTTTAAATCAAAAAGCATGGAAATTTGTGAGAGTTATGTTTTTCTCCAATAGAAGGGAATGGTTATCTATTTATTTTTATTTTATGGTCTTCAGTTTACCCTATAGATATCAAATCAACATGAATATTTAGATGACTTAAAAAATCCACATAAATTTCTAACAATTTATGAAATGCAGATGAGTTTTCATGTAATCAAAATATTCATCTAGACGAGCCACCAGAAAGGCGTTTCGCGGAATTCTAGGGTTCCGTGCTAGAGTTACTAGGGTTCTGACTCTTAAGATTTATAGGTTTGGAATCGTTAACGTTCACTATTATACAATTGCCATAAATATTCACTATCGCAACGAACTATAGGGGGTGTTGTTGTATGAGACGAATTCGTGCGATTTCCATATGAACAAGTTGTTCTGCCTTTTCCTTAGGGAAATTTTGCTTATATGAACAAGTTGTTCTGCCTTTTCCTTAGGGAAATTTTGTTTCTTATTTGCTACTAAGAAAATGGCGTCCGACTCTGCCAATGATTATGATAGAACAACTTAATAAATAAATGCCTGATATTTTCAGGCTCCGCTAGAGGGCATACTCAAGCGTTTTGATCGCGAATTGCCATACGCTCGCAATTGCCTAATGCTTGCAGTTGCTAACCAAAAGATGTTGGCTGGAGTTCGATTTCTGCTCCACCAAAATATTATCGATTTCATAATCTATAAAAACTGGGAACAGCTGATCCAAATTAGTAATGGTTCTATTATCAAGAAAAATTTATCCTAAAACAACGAGTCAAGACTCAGAACTTCGTTTGTCACATCGATTTTGAGCTAATAAAAAATCCATCAGTTTAAAAAGTCAAAAGAATAAAATGACACTTCCCGTTTTAAATGTCTATCACTTTTCCTGAGAACAATAAACAATGAAAATAGCTTTGGAATGCATAGTATGTTTTTTTTATACAAACTGGTATTTGTGCCAGTTGTAGCATATAGCTTCGAAATAAATGTATGATAAATCTGATACAATCATGGATATGATTTATAAGTATCATTTTAAATAAAATAGCATTTGAAATCTATGTTTTAGATATTTCCACTACGTGTTTCTTTAAATTAATAAGATACACGATGATGCAGTAAACCAAGTGCGGTGAAAGAAAATAAATTAATTTTATTATAATTTTTTTTATTATAATTTTTAATAACCAAAAAGTTCGTAGAGGATAAAAATGACCTTTTGCATATTCTTGGGGGATAATAAATATCTTGTAGTCTCCTCTTGAATTGAAGAAGTAAATATTATAATACTTATAATACGTAAGTGTAAGGTTCACGTAAGTTTAATCTTATCACAGAGCAGAAAAGTTTAGCATTCATATAAAAAAAGTGGCAACAGATTATATATAGATAAAAGAAGCTTCGCTGCAAAACAAAGAGCTCCAAAAATGCCCTCCAGTAATCATTATCATCATCATCGCTTTAAAATTTTTGTCCTTGTTTATTGCTTATTAAAATATTTTTCAGAATATCTTCTCACCTCTCAATTATATTTCTTTTATGCTAAAGTGTTTGTTTTTCAACCTTACCAAGTTAAGTGCATATGTTTTTAATTATTAGTATATTTTATTGCATTTGATTTAAATGTTCACCTAAGCATTGATTTAACTATACAATTAAAAACCGTTTTGTAAGAGGCTTGACTTCAAATATGCAGTTTTTTTTTGATAGACGATAGTTCTTAAATTTTGCAGGATCCAACAATGTTAAATTATTAGGTTCAAAAAATTAAAGAAAATTTTTTAAAATTTGTTCTTTTTATCTAGGTTTCAAAATTTTAACTTTATATTGTTGTAGTGCCTGGAGTCTTTACTACTTACTACCAAACAAAAACCCATTTGCTGTTCTTCCAAATTCTGCTGTAAAATATTCTGAAGTTTTAAAGGAGAAAATGATGTATACTAATGTTTACTATTAAGAACTTACGAATATGTAACTAAATTAACAAAAACATCAGTTGTTGCAATTAATTAGTTTAAATATTTAAAAAAATTATATCATATTTAAAAAAAATTAAGACTTAACTTGAATGAACTTGAATGGATTTTTGCGGCCCTAGAACAAAATCTGGCCCTCCCTTTTATGGTGAAGATTTTGGGGATTATCATCGGATTCTAAACATAGAATTTCAATTGGATTCCGAATATAGGGTTCGAAATTAGCTGTGAAATTTTCGATGACATTTGTAATTACCAATTTCGGGCTTTCGTTGTCACTCATGTATATTAGAGATTTTAAATGATACAAGATGGATTACTAATTTACACTTTATTTTCGACGAAATTGTGTTTTGAGTTAAATAGTACAAAGTCTTGTAGTTGCGCTAGCTTCAACTTTACAAAGAGTGTAAGAGGAATTATAGATCAAAATGTTTACAATAAGTAGGGTCAATATATTTTTGTAAAAGATGTGCAAACTGTTATAAAAATGACAGCAATTAAATATAATATATATGAAAATCTTGTACATACTACGCTCAAAAAATTTTCCAAGCTTTTTAAATTTTTTTTTAGTGAAATATTAATGGCAAATTATTATTTATTTAGAAAATTTGTAATTATGAAATATTTTTTGCCCATATTTTTTGCAATCTTATGCATTGTTGCTCATGTTTTTAGTTTTTACTTGTATATTCAGGTGAATGAATTATATGGTAGTCTGAGAGCTGCCCAAACAGCATTTCATACAGCTATCACTGATCTCGATGTGTCACTAAATGGTAAAGTTGATCAGTTCAAGGAAGCTTTTAAGGCTTATGGTACGGGGAAAGACAATAGGCCCAACAGGTTTCAAAGATGGTTTTGGAAGCTTCGTCATGAGATTGTAAGTTTCAGAATTTTTTTTTTGCATTTCAAAGCTTTTTTTAACACTATTATAAAAAATGGAAATTCGATTTTTTGAAGATATTTAATACTAAACTTAAACTTGCAAAATATTTCATAAAATTATTGTTCCTTAAAAAAAACTTTCGTAATGAACTTCCATTATCAATCCTTGTTTCTCATAAATTTTTTTCACCTTGGTATCCAATCAAGATTCTTTTCATTGCTAAGATATGGAACGAAACGAAATAGTATGATCAAAAAAATAAAGGTAATAAGGAAAAGTTTCAAAATCTTATTTGACCTATAATTTTTGACACACAGTGCAGTAGAGACTGTTGTGTTCCTCTTGTTAAAAATGATACATTCATTTATCTTTTATTCATGGTGTCACTTACGGCATATTCATATTTATATTCTATTTTGAAACATTTTGTCTTCTCAGTTCAGGTGAAAATTATAATGTCAGGGATAAAATAAATTTTTCAAATAACGGATGATGGATTACAGTCATATTATCACCATGAGGAATTTCAGAATTTTCTTCTCTGTGCAATGCACATACTAGTAAATTGTTACTCAAAAAGTCATTCAAAATAGTGAGATTGCTTTTATTTTTCATTGGAGTTTCTACACTGTAGCATAGCGTAACGAGTGGTTTGTCTTTTTCACCAAATGAAACATAACAACTGAATAATCATCTAAATAACAGATAAAATAAACAACGGACGAATAACATTTTATTTGACATTTAACAATTACACATTTTGGAGTAACAAACGCATTCACCTTCTTGCATCCATCGATCACTACTAGACTCTTTTTACCAAAAATTTAATATTATTCAATTTAGGTTTCATTTCTCTGACTCTTTGTAATTTAGCTGTGATTTTATTTCTCTGGCAACCTAGTGCTAATGGAAGTTTCATTCATCCCAAGGTTATCAGAACACCTTTTAGGTTGATTTAAAGGGCGCAGAGAGAAATATGCGCACTTCTGCAGTGTGAATCGGCTGTTCATTGCAGGCAATAAAATGAAACAAATTCAAATTACTTAAGGATGGGATTTAATTCTGCAGTGGGATGGAGAGTTCGCTTCTGATACATGTGACCCAGGTTCAAACTCTGGAAATACCGTCCCATTGTCAGCATGCCACTAATCCATGCCTATAAAGCAAACACGATGAAAGAATAGTTTTGAAACGACGGAGATACTCAAATTCACTCAACCAAAATATTATCGTGAAGAAATGAGAGAAACTCTTGCCAGAAAAGTTGATGGTAAGGACAAGCATTATGATACAAAAAATTGATCTAGTTTGAGCAATAATATGAGATCTTGAACAAGGTAAATCAAAATGAGGTAAAAATTTATTTACTAAATTGTTGCAAGTTAGACTTTTAAGTTCCTTTAAAGCAATCACAAATGCACTACTAATTTTTCTTAACATCAGTTCTTGGAAATTGCCGACCGGCCTGTGTAGGGGGCAGGGAACTGCCCTTGCATCAGAAAGGTTCTGGGTTCGAATCCCGGACAAGACATGGATGTGCTTTCCTTCTCTGTACTATCTGTCCTCACTATGGGAGCGACGTTGGCCCACCTAATATGGTGCCCCTGAAAGAGAGGCCAACAAAATCACCCTGTAGATGACTAAATTGACGGATGTTAACACAGGTGAGCATTGGAAAAAAAAGTTCTTGGGAATTTAAACCCCCCCCCCCCAAAAAAAAAATCTTTAACCTCTATTATTTTTTTTGAATAAGTAAAAATAAATCTACAATTTCGTGTTTGTAATTCTGCTACTTATTGCAAGAATAGGCTTCGCTAATATTTTGAAATGAATCGGAAAAGTTGGTTTTCACTGGGTATATAATTTTTTCATGCAATGTATAGCTTTCTTTAGTAAGCTAACAGTTTGTTCAAATGTATATCTTAATCTATCCCTCAATTTCTGTTGAATGTATATTCCCTTCCTTTTCAATATTTTTTTGTATGTTTCAGACTCATGAGCCAATTGGTAAGTAAACTTTTTCTATGTTTCCAATTTATGACGATTATTCGGTAACGTATGTAAGATATAATTATAATTCCAGTTTTTTTCAATCTTTTTCACCTTTTAAAAAATAATTTGCATAAAATAATAACTTCATAAAAAGTTACTTTCATCTTTTTGCTAAGCCACATTTATTATCCTATCAGATCATTTATTGATTTAAAAGGGGAAAAAAACAAAAACACTGTTGTTAAATGATTAAATGAAACTCTCACATAAATGTATTCAGGTGCCTTAGTTTTAATAAGAGTTTCAGACACATTATTTCTGAATAATCTGGTAGAAATTGTATTTGATTCACAGTTCTTTTATTAAAATTAAATTGATATAATCAAGTAACTTATGTATCAATTTAACTTAGTATAATTAAACTTGTAATTTAACTTATAATCAAACTTATGTATTTTTAATGGAACTTACATGACTCCTACTGTTATAAATAATTGTTTTTATATTTGGAAAAATGTAGCAAACTTTTTTAACATTTTAGAAAAATAAATCTGTTATTTAATGTCAAAGACATCATTGTCAATTATACAAAAGCACGTTTAAATTATACGAGGGTTGCTATTTATATTTCT